TTTATACTAGAATTTATCTACACCTTAAAAGGAGGAAATTGACCAACAGAAAAAATAATAATAATAAGGAAAAGGATATGATTTATAGTTTTGGGGGTTTTGTTTTGTTTTGTTTTTGAGTCAGGGTCTCTCACTCTGTTGCCCAGACTGGAGTGCAGTGGCATCATCAGGGCTCACTGCAGCGTCAACCACCTGGACTCAGGTAATCCTCCCTCCTCAGCCTCTCGAGTAACTGGGACATGAGGTCTTGCTATGTTGCCACACTGGTCGCCAACTCCTAGGCTCAAATGATTTGCCTGCCTCGGCCTTCCAAAGTGCTAGGATTATCAGCATGAGCCACTGCACATGGCCATATAACTTATAGTCTATGAACAGAATTCTGTACTTAAAATACATATAATGAATAAATATATTTATCTGAGTGACAGTCACAGAAGTGATAAGTATATTAATAACAAATTTAATTCAACAGCAGAAATATAGTTCCATTAGATAGACTATAAAAAATATAAGTTTTAAAGAAAACATATGATTTCAAACATTTCATTATGTTTATAATGAAACATCTGTATGACCAAAATTATGAAATGGAATATGTTGCTGAGAATAACTAGATCTCTTTATCAAGTCCTGTGTGAATTCCAATGATTAAAGAGTGCTAACATCCCAGGACTCTTTTGCTATAGGATGAGAGTGGAGTGGAGAAAGTCAGCCTTCAGGAGATAAACTTGTCCACAAAACTCAGAGAAGATTCTTTGAATTGCACAGGCATTTAAGAGAGCTACCTCATACAGAGGAGGGTATTAGTCCCACAAACTGACAAATCCCAAGCCTTGACCATTTCCAGAGACCTCAATCAAAGAGTCATAAGAGCCCTGTGCTCTACTACCCCATAAAAAGTGGGAGTAGCATGAGAGGATCAGACCAGAAAAACAGACTTCAATGCCCTCTCTTCCTTTATTCACAGAATCTTGGACTGTCGGGTTCTCACTCTACATCCTGGAACCATCCTTCCAGCCACAGAATGTTCATGGGCACTCCCACCCTAATCCTATCATTCCCACTAAACCCGATCCAAATCTTCTGCTGTCAAAGCCCTTCCTAACCGGCTTCACCAAAATGACTTTTTCCTGTGAATTCTGCACAGGAAAATATCCATCAATACTATTTGGCAATACTTTGGCCTTGTGGCTCAGTGGCTTCTCAGAACCGCTACTTAGCTTCTCCACATTCCTGTCTTGTCTTATAACTTGCATCTCCTACAAAACTCTGCCCTCATGTATAAATGAGTATTTTTTATGCTGCACTTCTATATTCCTGCCTGGACAAACTTGTTGTTTCCTGTAGGGTCTTTCTTGCCTATAGTCACCTCAAAAAGCTATTGGCAATGAAACACTCCACCCCTTCCCTTGACAGAACTTTCAACTAGTGGTCTGCACATCAAGTCTAAGGGCTTCCTTTTCATTTTCTAGGACCTCCTGCAATCAGCCTGAGACAGACACTTTCTTTTCTTATTCCTCTCTTTAATCCATACAAGTCCTACAAACAGGCTTTTGAACTTCTCCATCCAAAAGGACACTACTTAATAAATCAGCACTAAAAAAAAGTTTGCTCGACTGATGTGCTTATTTATGTACTTCTTTTTATTGGGCCCAATTTTATCCTTCCATTTATATTTATTACTACACATTGTTTGTGCTCTTCTAACAGGCCACCTCAAGTCAATATAGAATCACTCGTATATTTACAAAACAGAGATATCTATCCTATAGCTCTTCCTACTAATCCCGCAAAATCAATTTCTTAATTTATGTCTCCATTCCCCTCCAAATAGAATGAGAACGTCACAAGAAGGGAAATAGGAATCCTCTTCTGGTCACTGCTGTGTCCCCATTGCCTAGACCAGTGGTTGGCACTCAGAGCATCTCAGCAGATACTTGTGGAATGAATGCCCCTTAGTGAATCTCCAGAAAGCCTCCCAGATTCTGCCTCTCTCCATCCCTACCCTCTGCCTAACCAGAGTATGGTCAAGAACATGAATGCGAAAGTGAGACCGTCAGGGTTCACCATCTCAGTAGGGGTAAATCTTGGCACGTTTTCTGCCTTGGCAAGTTATCTGCCTTGTCTCGATCCCAATCTCCTCAACCATAAACCAGAGTATGACTGGGTCCTAGTAAGGACTGAGTGAGATCACGCAGCTAAGCACCTGGCACATAGCAAAGTGCACCCAGTGCTAACTGTGCTTTTTTTTGTTTTGGTCAGTGACAACCGTGCCACTATGCCTGTGTGGATCAGTCTTTCCTGGTCTCATCTGCTAAAAGACTAGAATCTGACCAAGAAAAAAAAAATCATTTTGACTCAAATGTAAGCAAGTTAATAGGCTCAAAGTGAGAGCCTGAGTTTTTTCCTATAAATAAAAGTATATGCATTTGAGGGACAGCTTAGACATCTATTCTATGTTTCTGGGTTGATATCTTACTCTTCAATTCTGTACAAACACACTATGTTGCCCAGGAGTGCAGTTCTGCTTAAGTGGCTGCCAGAAGAGTGACTTTTTAAAAGGCATAAACCCAACAGCCTGTATTATACAACATAACAGTGAATAAAGCTTGCTGTATCACTCTGTCTTAGAAAATTTATGACAAAGTGCACTTCACAGCTCTTTAAAGATCTTCATATCCATTCTGATTTTAAGAGATACTCTTAAACTAAATATGAGTCCAGGAGAAGTCATTATCTTTACCAATATGTTACTATTTATAATTTCAACTCTGCTAGAGCTCTTTGTATATAGGAAATGTCAACACTATGCACACTGGAAGTAATTTTAACTCTTACTTATTTTCAGTTTTGGTTCTTCCAAATAAGAAACTGTTAGTAAATATTTTTTATAACAAAGAATACATGTGGCATACACCCTGTTTTTTACCTGAGCCAAAGATATTTTGCAGAAGCAAATAACTACTTGCTTTTCTCTCCTTATGGGTTTGTCTTAAAGCTTCTACAAACTTAGGTGACATCCCTCCACTCTCCCTCCCCTTCAAAACATTATGTTTCTGGATGAGGAATTAACACTAAGTCTCTGAATTTTAACTGAGCGTTAAACATGTGCAAGTGAGTCACAATTAAAACCCGGCAAAACTCACAAACTAAGCTTCCCATAAACTAGCAAAGAGGAGAATAGGAACACTTTTAAACGTCAACTTCACATGGCAGTCTTAGTAGAAAGATGTGGTCTCCGCTTTTTAAAACACTGGTCTTCTCAAAGAAATGCCAACACAGCAGACACATCAAGTTCATCTATCTTTTAAAATAATCGTCAGCATCACTGAAGTAGAACAGCTTTGAAGCCTCCCTACTGAACTATACATGTAGTGTTTGTTATTGGTCATGCCAGCTGTTTTCTGCAGTCATATCCAACCATCCCACAGCTCATGGTACACTCTATGGCAGACAGTAAGGAGAATTTATAAGTTTTTACAAGTTAATGATTCAGGCAATTCTTGGAATAACTTCCACTTGAGAAGATGCAACTAAGGTCCTAGCAAAAGAAATCCCCAGCTGTTGACAGCCCAACTTTGGAAACTCCCTCTTTCTTGCCCACTCCTGACTATCCCTAAATTCAAATTACAAAGTTGAATGACCCTGGTAAGCACTTTCTGCCTGAGATGAACTCAAAATTCTATCGAATTATTCATTAAGGTTCTAGATAAATGTTTACTGAATTAAAGGGAGAGAGAAACACTGGAAACTTCGCCTCCAAAAGTCCACTGTCTGCTCCCTTGCCCACCCTCTTCTTCCTCTACAGAAAAAAACACACACAAAAAACCCTGGAAGCTCATGCTGGCAGTCAAGCAATCCAGGACCCAGAGGGCTGACACTTGGCCCACGAGGTGATGACAACAGAGAGGCCTGGGCAGTGACTCCAAAATAGGGCACCCACTGCCTTGGGAAATGTTAGGCGCTTGCTAAGATACAAACCGTCCCCGGGGGAGCTGAACCAGATGGTCGGAAACCAAGTCGGTTTCCGTACAGATCTCAAGGCCCGAATCCCATTCCACCACCCTCCTTCCTGTTTATAGAACCCGCTCCGGCAACTCCAACTACCAACGAGAAGGCAGACGTTCCAGAAATATGTCATACATGACACAACTTGAAAAAGTTATGCAGCTTAATGGCGCGAGTTACAACTTGCCGGGCTCACAGGCAAACCGGCTCACGTTAATTACTTTTTAAAAAACAGGCCATCCCGTCCATTTCTGGGTCCCAGCAACCACCAGGTTACTGAAAACCGGGTAGCTGCAAAGTAGGAACCAAACTGTGTGGGCGGTGAGCCAAACGCGAGGAAGGAGCGAGCCGATCGCTTCCGAATCGGCCGCCGAATGGAGTTCACGACAAGCGCCGCGGCTCTTTCTTGGCACAGGCGCAGGAGGAGGAAGCCACGGCACCTCGCAGGCGGCACTGAGCTGCCCCACCCCACGGCGGTGTCGCCGAGGGGGGCTCGCGGCAGTGCGCCGCTGCCCTCGGCCGAGCCACCTTTGTCTGGGTTTCCCCACCGGGAGGGACGCGCGACGCCTCGATGCAAAGACGACTCGAGGAGGCGCAGACGCGGCTTTCCGCGCGCGGGTGCGCAGCCCTGCGCGGGGCCCAGGAATCCGACGCGGCCGCCCGAAACCTCCCACTTCCACTGCGCGCACGTCCAGGCCCCGAGGCCAGTTCCCCGGCGCGGCCGCCCGAGGCTGGAGGGCCGGACACCCGCGCTCGCCGGCGCAGCAGCCGGACGCACCCCCTGCCCTCCCGGCACCGCACCGCCGGGCGAGGCAGGGACCGTGCCCGCTGCCGGGCCTGTTTCTCCCGCGCGCACGCGGGTCCCTTCCTCGGGAGAGCACGGGCCGATGGACCCCCGAGACAGACCGGCTCTGTGACTGGCCACCGCGTTGGGGAAGGCGCGACAGCCAGCCAGACAGCCAGCCACGGCCTGCCCCTCGGCCCTCTCTCACCTGCTTGCACCGTGTCCGAGAGGTCGTGCCCGGGGGCCGCGGTGCGGGGAAATTCCTTCAGTTTCCTGGCGCTGAGGTTCAACCCCCCGGAGTTGGCCGCCTCCTCTAGCGCGCGCTCCAGACCGCGGTTCAAGGGCAGGTTGAAGCCCCCGCTGCCGCCGCCGGCGCCGCCGCCGGTTCCTCCGTGGTGCTGGTGGTGGTGGTGGTGGGGATGATGATGTGGGTGCAGAGTAGCTACCGAAAGGGCAGGGACGAAAGGTTGGGGTTCGCCTCCCGGCGTCGCCATCTTCTCCCAGCCCCCCCCCACCCCCACCCCGCCCCGCCGCTCCTGCGGGGGGGGTCACAGCGTTCCCCGCGAGGGGAAGACGGCAGCTCGGGCTGAATCCCTGCAGTGCTCCACGGAAAAACGCTGGAAAGAGGGGA